GTGATGGCATGTCTGACATCTTGTTCAGTCACTCACAACTATGAGCCCTCCCCAATACGCCAGCTCAACTGCTCTGCCAGCAAACTCTCTTGAGGACTCTACCAGTCCAAACCTTGCCTTGCAGATATCCATCAGTGCTCCCTAACTCCCGAGTTCCCCAGACTCGTCTCCCTGCCATGTCCCTCTCGCTGGACACTCATAAGTTTGCTGCATCTAGAAAGACAGAGACCCACCCTGTAGTTTATTACCCAACCCTGAGATGGTTTTGTAATGAAACAAGAATGTTTATTAACAAAGAATATTTGTTAAGTGCCTTCAAGAAAGAGTGAAAGAGCTAGGAAAGATCAGTGACTAAATCTTAATTTCAGCAAGTTACACTATCTTTGCCTGAGCAGGTTTCTCACCAACAGTCAGTTCCCAGGGACTTCAACCCCCGTGGCTGAAGGATCCACCTTTCTCCAATTCCAAGCGCTCTGGCCCCTTTTGTCTCCCCAGTCAGAGATACCAAAACGGCTTTCTGTGTCTGCTTAAATCTCCCGGCTCACTGACCCTGTTACAAGAGGCAGGAATGCTTCTTGGGGTGCAACTTCCATTCCCTGTTGTGATTGCTAAGTAGCCATCTCCTCCACCTGCTCGCCTGATGGCCCTTGTTTACCTTCCATGTAAATGTGTTTTCATTGTCTTTGGTGTCACTTTGCTTAATTTACATTTGGAGACACAGTCAAGCAGGCAAAACAACATTCATTTGTCTAAGGCATACTCATTGCCTGCCAAAGACATTTTAGGAACATATTTCCAGGACACATCTATAATATTTTGTACATCACCTGTACATGCATCGCACAATAATATTAATTACTAGTGTGTCACCAATTTGCATATGGTACCTTACATGACACCTTTTATATACAAATTCTGGCAACAGTGAGTTGGGGCAATGAGTATGTCAGGCCTCAAGTGAGTTATGGTAGGGCGTGCCCTCTGCTAGTTGGCATTGGGGTCACAGCATGTCCAGCAGATGGGGACAGAGTGAAGAGCCAGGGTGCTGTGCTGAGGAGAGGGACTGGAATCTGATGCTGAGTAGAGGGCTATTAGGGGCCTGGAGCTCACCGAAGCCTGTGTGTTGATTGCATAACTGTGAGGCTGACTAACCGGTCCAACTAGCAGCACCCAGGCCCCTGCACTGGACCTTGTACCACTGTCCAGATAAAGCTGGAGTCTATAGACATAGATGGATGAAGGAGACAGAAAGATATTGCAGAGAACAGGCCGGGAGCCAGTGCGACAGATGAATCAATACTTTTCCAACAATCAACATCCATTGTTTGCCTCCTAATGTGAAAGAATTTAAATAACAATGGGCTGAAAGGCCAGGTGAGTCATAATCATAAGCCTCTCCAAGATGATCAATATACCAGTTGAGAGACACAGCACTCCTCTGAGAGCCTCTCCTAAGGCAGAGCATGCCGCAAACACTCCAAGGCCAAATGTATTCAAAACCTCAGTTGCTGCTTCTTAATCCTACCAGCCAAAAACCCAGGCTTGGGGATAGCTGCTCCTACTGGGGGCACTGACCTTTTCTGAAAACAATTCTTTGTATTTTTGTAGCAAATGCAACCATGCCCCTAATGAAGGCAGTCAAAACTAACCAAACCCCTCAGGATTTGCTAGATTAGTTAGATAAATTGTGTGTGTGTTCTGGGTTTTAGGCTAAAGCATATCCAGGGCTAAATAAACTTCAGGGCTGGAGGGCAGGAGTGTTCTCACTCACTGTAGGTACATTCAGGCAAAGCACTTAATTTCCATATAACATTCCCCCTCTCCTCCCAGTAAAGAAGGTATAATACCTAATTCTAAGAGGGCCTTTGAGATGTAATTCAAATTTGTAAAATGCGTTGAGCTCTTTGGAAGAAAGGGGCTAGATCATGGTAAAGTATTATTCTAAGTTGTTATACTGAAATAGGCTTTCCTGCCTCTTGCCCTCCTCACACTCTCCCACCCATGCTCCTAGAACCAACACCTTGAACTGCCCCTGGAAGCAGATGCGATGCTAGCACAGGTGCAGTGTGCTTACACTAATTCACTCCACTAAACTGGCAGGATCCCATGTTCTGCACTAGCTAAAGCTCCTGAATGGTCTTCGAGCATAGTAAAGTTGTAGTCCAGCCTTTGGGGATAAGGGCCATGCTGGCTGGGTGAAGTCTATGGCCGCAAGGAACACTGCAGCCTCTTAGTAATCTGCAGCAAAATGAGCCATCAGTGCTACCTGGGAATCCAAGGCCACTTGGGAGCTCAAAATTACCCACAGAGCATGAACCTAGACAGTCCTGCAGCAGATAGAGCAGACCCAACCGCCAGTCACTGTGCGTGTTACTTCCCCTGTCAACAAGCATCAGGTCTGTCTTTTCCACCCTAATGAGCCATTTTCACTTTTATCCAGGCAGTGGCAAAGCACTGCCCAGATCTGGCAAAAAGGAGGCATTGAACTGAGTATTACTGACATGTGGATTGCTCTGCAGTCTCATATGCCTCTCACATACACATTGGAAAAGAGATGGGATGGAGTGCAGTTCTGTGGCATATAAACAGGCACCACACTCTGAAAACTCTGACAGAAGGAGTGTAGCCATTAAAGAACAACTCTGCCCATCCTTGCCAGAGCCCATGAGTCAACCACATCTTGTCAAAGGCTGCTGATAGAGCTAACAACATCAGCATGACCGCTGACTTTTATCCAGTGATTGGAGGAGGAAGAGCATCAACTAAGGATACCTCCCTACCCTAGCCAGGTCTGAAACCATAGTGGCTGAGCCAAGGAACAGAGGAATCCAGGTGAACCCTGAGCTGCCATAGAATCATAGAAACGTAGTGCTGGAAGGAACCCCAACAGGTCATCGCCCATCTCCCCATGCTAAGGCAGTACTATGTATACCTAGACCATCCCTGACAGGAGTTTGTCCAACTTGTTCTTAAAAACCTCCAATAATGGGGATTCCGCAACCTCCCTTGGAAGAAGCCTATTCATACATAGCCTTTAATTTAGTAAGTTTTTCCTAATATCTAATCGAAATCCCCTTTGCTGCAGATTAAGCTGATTACTTCTTGTCCTACCTTTGGTAGGCATGGAGAACAATTGATCACCTCTTTATGACTGCCCATAATATATTTGAAGACAATCACCAGGTTTGACTGTCATCAAGCCATTTTTTGACCTGTCTAATAAAGGGAAGGTTTGAGGCAGAGTGGTAATGGCTGAAGTCATTAACAATAAATGTCTTGAGCAAAGTCCTGATCATCCCTTCAGGGTATTCAGCATCTTGCTCTCCAGAAGGGAGGTATTAACATTCCCCATCAATAATGTGCCCCCAAACCTCCCTTCTGGGTTTCACCAGCCATGCACACATTTCACAGGACATAATCTTCAGCCCTCCTAGCACTTTCTGGATCTCTGTATATGAATTCTGGTGAGACTCCGTTGGCCCAGACCCATGGTGTCCTCCTGATAAACAGTGCCCTCAAGAGGGTAGCCAAACCAGTCTCAATACAACACATGTGAAGTGGGTGAAAAACGTTTCCTGACAGGAAATGCCCAAATCTGTTATTGGGTGGAGGCCATTTGGATTCACCAGACTGATCACCACATAGCTCAGTCTTGCTGGTCTGGACATCATGAAGCAGGGAATGAGAAGAATTTAACAGCTCCTACCATAGTCCTGGCACAGAAACATAACATTTCCTTACCCTGAAGACCTCTGGTGAGGAAACTAGATCACGTGTGAGCCTTTATACTCTGATATTGATTATTTTGTTAGGTCCCCTGCTGTTCCAATGATGAACACTGTCTGGTAGACAATCAGTTGGTTTTGGATTACATTTTCAGAATATTTATTTATAGGCATGTCTACGATGCTTATCGCTGACTGACATCCACGTGTGAGTTAGTCGTGCTTCCACTTCCTGCTTCACTGTGACAGAGCTATGGGGACGTTCACATCCTTTTCTAGTCAACTTTTAAATAATATTCCAATATAAAAATGACTGTTGGTGCAGGCTAGGTTGTTGGGGGATAACAGTGGGGTGCCTTCTCCTGATGTCACCTTGCCAGAGGGACACTTCTCCCATTCTTCTGTGTTAGGCTGGGGTTATTCTTCTGAGAATACCACCCTTGCCTGGTGGGGGAGGGAGAACTCCACAGATGCTTCTGCACCCATCTCTTGATTGCACCAGGCCCAGCTGGAGCCCTCTTCTGGCAACACAGTCTGCCCTGAGTCACTCAGCCAATACTACAGAACTAGGGTACTCTCCTCGGATGCTAACGTGTCAGCCTGGCGTGCATCTGTGATAGCCCAACACAAGGCTAGAGATCTCCTCCTATAGCACCACAGTGAAAGGCCGCTCCGTAAATTGCATGGCCCCAGCCTTGGATGCTCTTCTAACAGCACGATTTTGCCCCGTCACCCTGCTCCAGGCTGCCACCGTGTGGGGTGTCACTCCCGTCCCTTCTGCCCCCCCAGTGTCCGGCTCTCATTTGGGCTGGCTGGGGAGCAGAGCTGGGAGGTAGCCCAGGGACGGACGAGGCCCCTCAGATTGCAACGTTGCCTTGAGAACCTACCCTTCCCCATAGACGGGCGGTGCCACCTCAGGCTCACCCACGGACGGGGCTGGGTCCAAGGAGGGGCCAGACAGCGACCCCTCCAGACCAAGGCAGTGGCACCTCAGAGACCCCGTCCCCTGCTGCTTAGGGCAGGGCCACCCCAGATACGCCCTCCCCCCCAGCCGCTGCGATGGCACCACCCCAGAGACCCCCCTGTGGCTGGGATGTTACAACCCCAGAGACCTCCGCTCTCAGCTGGCTAGGGTGGGGCCACCCCAGAGACGCTCTCTAGCCACCCCCGCCCCGTGGCTGTGGCGGGGCCACCAAGGAGCCCCCCTGTGCCGCCTACCCAGGCACCCCCCGGGGATGGGTAGCGCCACGCCCAGCGCGGAGCCCGCCCGCAGGCAGGCCGTGCCCGCGCACGCTCTGTCCCGCCGGGCCCCGCGCTCCAGTGCGGGGGCGGTGGTGAAGCGGGGGATCGCCCTCCCGCCTGCCCGGGCGCGCCCCCGAGCGCCGCCTCAGCAGCGCCCGAGACTGAGCTAGGAGCGGACAGCGCCGAGCCGGCCCTGCTGCCACCGCCGCGGGGTGAGTTGAGCGCGGGACGCGGCCGGGGAGCGGAACTGACCCCACGGGGAGACGGGCCCGGCAAATCCCGGGGGGGAGAGACGGGCACTCGGGGGATCCCGGGGAGGGGAGGGAGACGGGCACTCGGGGGATCCCTGCTGGCTTCGGGAGGAGACTGACACTCAGAGCTTGTAAGCCCTTGTAGACCAGCCTGCGGTGGATCACAGTGTGGTGTGGGTCATTGTGGGGACCGACATGTGCTGGGCAATCCCAGGGTTTCACCAGTGTTTCCCAAGGAGGAGGATTGACATGCAGAGTTCGATTCCATGGGGCCAGCAGAGTGTCTGGCGGAGTGGCATCCGGTGTGCCAGGAAGGGGACTCGCTGTGGGGCCAGTCTTGCTGGGCCAGGTGTTTGACTAGTCCCAAAGATTTCTACATCTCTTTTGTTTGAGGAAGAGAAAATCTTTGAGGAACAGCCAAACACTCAGCATGCCAAAGTTCTCCTGAGGGTTCCCAGTGTCCCCTCCTGCATTGATCACTCCCCCCCCCCCCCAACTCTCCTGACCCACCAATGCCCTGGGCTTTTCTCTGTGTTTTTTCTCTAGCACTCATCACCATGGTATCTGGGTGTGTGAGACTCCTTACAGTGCAACTTTCAGGAAAACCCAAACAGTATTTAAAATAAAAACCCCTAATTTTTCTCTAGCTGTGAACACAGGTGTTTCTTTGTCAGTCTTTGAATGGAAGCAAAAATTGACAATAGCCAACACGTACCAATTTAAGGGAAGCCCCAAGAGTCTGTAGTGAGCCTGGATCTGATTTGAATAAAAAATCCCAGTCCGTGCTGGTCAGGAAAACCAGGCTATCAACAAACATTATTTGCCCTGATTTGTAACCAGTATTGTTGAATCCCAGTGGCGTCAAAGCCCAAGGGCTCATTCCATTCCAGTTGTTTAGTCCTTACCTGAAGCCATAATCCTTTGTTTGTGTCATTACAATTAGCTGAACAGTTGTCACAGGAGATTACTACTCAGGTACGGAATAAGAAGCTGGAGTGGACAAACTCTGAAAGGAGCAGAGAATCTGTTTTGATCCCTGGAATCCTAGAAACAGCCCCCTACTGCCTTCCCCTTTCCCTCTGGATAAAACATTGACACCCAGGCAGAATTGCTGCCAAAGTGAATGTGTTCCAAAGTTTTTCATAGACCATCAGTGGCTCTTTAAGGAATGGAAGGAAAAATGCATGTTGGCTTCCCAGACTGTGCACGAGCTGTGACCTCATCAGGCTGGTGCACGTGAACCAGGAAGCAGAACACAACTGAAATAAACAAGACAGGTTGAGAACTTGGGAGAAACTGAACAGCTGTATGAGTAGAGAAGGGGGTAAATGGGATTTGATAACAGATTCCAGTTTCTGTGCTTGTCAATAACCTCTGTGCAGTGGATTAGCTGATTAACGACTTGGGGGCTCGGTTCGCTTGCCTCTTCCTAATTTTTGACCAGCATAGATTGTAGCCCTGTCTCAGTTGTTCTGTGTGGCAAGCTTCCTTTCTTCTTTTTCTTTTGTGTGAGGCTTATGTGTGTGGGTGTGGTATAATTGGTGTGATTTGATTACTAACATTTGTATTGAGTAAACTTTAGAAACAATTAAAAACATAGGGCCAAATTCTGCACCCTGTTACCTGAGTATAAATCCAGAATAACTATTGATTTCAATGGAGTTCCTGCAGATTTGCCCCAGATTTAATTAATAGCAGAATTTGGCTGAAGTTCTGCCCCTTTGCTAGCTGCCCAAGTATGTACCCAGGAGATCTGGGCAGGCTTGTAGTCAGGTGGCTAGCTTGAGCCGCTGCTTATGCTACCTAGCCATGTTGCTATTTTTAGCTGGAGCACAGTTAGCATGAATCTGTCCCCTGCACTGGGAGGCATGCTCCCAGCTGCAGAGTGGACATATCTTGAGATGCATTGGGAAGGTTTGCAGAGCGCCCCTTTGCGCTATTGCTAGCTCAAGCCATGCCATCTGGCCTTTCCTGTCATGAAATGTTTGATTGAAGAGAGATTTCTTTCCAAAATCTGAATCTTTCTTTTTAAATTCTTCTCCAATCCTGCAGGGAGATCTGCAGCTTTCCAAAGTGATCTCTTTCTGAATGGAGTTCCTCAGCCACCTCTGATGTGGCTAAACAATCCCAAACTAAGGGGACATGCCATTCATCTCAAGGGGGCAGGGGGAACTGATCCTGATTCCTTTCGAAAAGGGAGCACAACAACACACGTGTAAAGTGGTTGGGGTGGCTGTTTATTTCTAAAGTAAGTGTATGTGTGTGTGAGGGGGAGAAGGGTGGTTTTCATGCTGCAGTTTTTAATAAAGGAAATAATGATACTATCTCCCTCCTGTTTTAGGAACGTGGATCCTTGGTCAGGAGTCTAGCAGAGACCATGAGCTGTTGCTTGGCTCTAACCTTCTGACTTTCAGGTGAGTTGGAACATAAGACACGGTGGGTCAAATTCACCCAAGTCTAATCCCCCTGCAGTGAGTGGAGTTAGACCAGGGATGGATCTGGCTGACTTTGAAGTGTTTGGTCCTGGCTGTGCTTGCATTGATGAGGATGGCAGCAGGATTTGTGGTCAATGTGAGGCTGAATAAACAAACAGCCACGGTGGAACTGTTTTTTCAGAAATAAATTTTTCCAATGTTTTCACCTGTGGTGCTGTTGAATTTAACTTGGATCCCAAATTTAGTTTCTGTTCAAAACCCCATGAGCATAGATATGGGGTTATGGGGAAAATAAAATCAAAACTTTTCTTTATTGTATTCGATCCTCCCTGGCTTATTGGAAAGCTAAACACAACAGCAACCTGCTTGTGTGTGAAAACCAGCCAGTGAAATTCACCACGCTAGTTTCATTGCCTGAAGTGAAGAGAAGACAGCAAGCAAACAGCACAAATGGTGGAAAGTCAGTTGCCATTTTAAAAGCTCTTTCAGATTTAAAAATCAGGTGAAGAAATAAAAGCAGTTCTACCTTGACAGTGCCTCTTTAACGAACGAGGATGTTACCTTTTACATTGTGCCTTTTGCTTCTTTTGGCTGTGGTATGGTTAGAGTGATCTGGTCTTGGGAGGGGTGTGAAGCACAGTTTAAAGTCACGTTGATCATACTCCAGCCCTCTTTAAGAAGTGGGCCTCTTCCCACAAAGCTCTTTGCCAGTAGGCGAGATGAGAAACAAATGACCTCTTACACTGTAGTCCTTAACCTTCTGCCTAGTCCATTGTACCATAAATAAATCCTCCAGTGTCGTGGATTCCCAACCTGGTTAGTTGTTGGTCTCGCCTGGTTACATCTTGGGAAAGGGGGTGGAGCACCAGTGCTCTTCTGGTAACTGGGTGATAACAAACAGTGCCTCCCAATCCCCTGGCCATTTAACCTCTTAATTCCCAAGAGGCATTCAGGTTGCACAGTTTGCATGTGGTTACAAAAACTGAATGGTTACCAGGGAGTGGGGTTAATTTGTTGAGTGCTTCTGAGCTGGCATTAGCTGCTGTTTCACTTATTCATCAGCTGTGTGGAAAGCAGAGGAATTGGAAGAGGAGGATGGCTGATGTTGCTGGAAAGTAGCTTTGAGGCAGACCGCTGTCTCCTAAGATTGGCTTAACTCTCCTCTTTCTCCTCTCTAGTTTGTGAGGGGAGTTTGCGGCACCAGGGGCCATGGCGGACTGGGTTCTCCTTGGACTGATTGGGGCATTGCTTGTGCTCCTGCTGCTGACTCTCTTTGGCTTTGCCATCTATTCGGGGCTCTTCTCGGAGGTGGTTGTGAGTGCTGGCTCGCCCCCCATCCGCAACATCACCCTGGCGTACAAGTTCAAAGTGGGGCCCTACGGCGAGTGTGGCAAGCTGTTCACGGAGAGCTGCAGTATCTCTCCGAAGCTATGCTCCATCGGCGTCTACTATGACAACCCTCACACGGTAAGAACCAGATGGGAGCTCTTTGGAGCTGGCCAGGCCTGGAAGCCATGCTGCTAATACTCCTCCAGGATGGGTGACACAGCTGTGGGAACTGGGCGGAGCTCTGAAATATGGGCCTCAAGTCTGTATATGGCAGAGAGGCCCCAATCTGGGGGGATCTCAGGCTAGTTGTAGGCATCCCAATAGGTGAGTTTGCTAATCCTCTGGGCTAGGTCTCATGGAGTTTCAATGGAGGCACCGTAGGGACAGGAGTCTGAGGAGGTCCAATTGCAAGTGTTGAGGAGTTGGGTTTCAGTGAGAGCAGGAATAAGCATAATCTCCATATGACCTCTGCTGGGTGGAACACCCCTGTACTTCTCTATGGAGTGGGGCTGGTGTCCTAAACCATGAGAGTAAAGCATTGGATACCAGATCCCGCTGTAGATGGAAGGGCAGCCTCCCATTTTGGGCCGGCGTTTGATATTCTCTATGGTTAAAAGCAAATAGTCTCTTCCTCCCACTACATGCTTGCCTATGCCTGGTTTCTGAACCTTCTCTAACCTACCCCACCTCTGGCCTGTGAGATGAGGTTTGAAAACATTTATGTCCTCAGAAGTGCTTGAGACTTTCAGTTTGCACTTTTCTGCTGGTGCTTGCTAATTGCAAGATCAGCTAGTGAGTTCTGATGAGATCCTAAGCCTATTATGGGCTTCCCTGTAGAGTAAAATGGTTCTCTTTGGCTCAAACTCTTCAGGAGGTGGGGAGAAGATCACTGTCTAATGGATGCTAGGCAGCAGGTTAGTACCTTGGATTCCGAGATTGACCTAGTCCAGATGGCCAGTAAACCAACCTGAGTCTTAATTCCCAGGGGGATAAGTAGGATGATTGACTGACTTGTTAAATGGCATCTGCCCGTGATATAGACACAGTCTCACAAGTGATTCAGCAACACCCAATGTGACCTGACAGGAATGCTGAGCGAGACCTGCCAGCAGCTCTGAGTGTGTGTGCTGGGGAGTTGGGGCTCTTGGACTTGGGGCTTAGACTGATAGCTCTTGCTTGGCTTTTCTGGTCCCTGCTGAACTTGGGCGACTGGTCTTGTGGTGCAGGAAGCTGCCTTGAATGTACGAGGCCTACCCCTGTTTTATTGTTGGCTGGTGGTACCTTTAGACAGGTGTAATGTGTTGTTCAGCCTGACTGTCAACGTTCCTCTCCTGTTAAGGGGACGCCATCCACTTATGCCTCGAACTTCTGTTTGCAAACGTTCTACATCCAGCATTACCAGGGTCCCCTGTGGCCACTGCTGCTGGAGGAGATGGGAGGGAAAAAGCCCCTGGGTGCACCCGTTCGTTCAGTTTGTGTGTTTGACAGCACTTGTCATGGAGTCAGCTTGGTGGCCACAAGCCGCTCTAGCAGTCCCCGTATCTGCCCCTTGCCCGGTCCCTTTACTCTCATTGTCCTGTAACTCCATGTAGGATGTGGGAAGCAGAGAATAGCCACAGTGCAGTAGACTCCTGCCCCAGACCTGCCACTTCCTCTCCTGACATGCCTCCAGGATGCTGGCTTTATGCCAATGTGGCAGGGGGTGTGCGTTGGTGGTTGTTTCTGCCACCTGTAAAGTGTGGCACAGTCGGGCTAAGAGAAAGAGAGAGGGACTCCAAGTGGGTACAAGTTTGGGCTGGACTAGGATGGTGACAGAGTTGGGGCTGGCAGGGGATCTGAGCGATTGACTGCCGTGCACTGTGACCGAAGGACTCTTCCCAGATTGTAAATGCTGCTGGAAAGCTTTGTTGTTATTTTGGCCCATTGCTGAATATTGGACATTAACAGGCTGTTTGTGAATAATCTCCCCTCCCTGAGCTCCTAGGCGCGGAGCATCTGCTGTTGAGTCAGGCCCATGTTCACAAGTGGTACCTCTTGAGTTACGGGGAACGAATATTCCACAAGTGGTAGCAGGAAAATCAGGACTTTCAGTACAGGGCCACTCTGTCCAGCCGATCAGCCTTCACGTGTGCAGCCCTTCCTCTCTCCCTTCTCACTGCAGTTGTCAACCCTCGGCTTCCCCGACTTAATTCTGCTGTTGGGGATTGTTGACATTGTCCTTGTTCCCATGTCAACGTCCCATGCCTTAGTCCAACATGAATCTCTTTAGTAACAGCCACGGAAGCATGCACAAGTGCTGGCCACGGAGCTTGCTCTTGGGAGAAATGTCCTATGAAAGGCACCTCTGGCATGGCCGTGCCTCTTTAAACAGCGAAGTGTATATCTGGCAGCTCTCAGTCTGAGCAGGGAAGGGAAACAGGCTCTGGATCAGTTGCTGGGGTCAGCAGTGTGGATGTGCTTGGAGCTGTTGAGAAACCCCTGCTCTCTTGGCATACTGGGGGGATCCTCTTGTTTCCCCCCATTATCTGCCTGCTGGCTTCCCGGCTGCCTCCTGGCAGCAGACATGGAGATGCCTTTGGAATCAGTTTAATTTCTTTTAGTGGGGTTATTTAATGTCTGGGACCCTGATTCAGCCACCTCTAAGGTGGAATGTGGGAGCACCACCTACTGAATAGCCAAAGCAGACTTTACAGGCAGGCTGGGCAGCGTGGTGGTAACCCTGAATCTCTCCTGCCAATGTTATCGGTTACACTGGGGCAGGTCATAATACCACATTGGTAAGAGACGTTCTGAGCCATGGTACCTGCACCACTGCTGGGACAATTCCATCCGCCATGCCACAGATACCCAGGGAGAGCAGCGCCCTGTCCCTGGGAAAGGTGCTTAGCTCAGGCTGCTCCTCCTTTACTGCAATAACATGGAATCTCAGTGTGTATTAAGGATATAAGAAGTGGCAAAATGTCATTGGACTTTATATTAAGCCTTTGTTTATCTGGAGCTTGCCAGGAAAGAGCTTCCGAGCATCTGTGAAACATTCATTCAACAGGGCTGCTCTGGTCATGTCTGCACATGTCTCACCTCCTTCCCTGCCCCTTCACACAGCCTTTTCTCACCTCTCTGTCCCTCAAGGTCTTCACAGAGCCTTTCCCCACTTCCTCCCTCTGGTCTGCACACGGCCTTCTCCTCCCCCCCTGCCCCCAATGGTCTGCACATAGCACTCAACACATCTTGTTAGGAAAGTTTTGTAAAGGTGCCTTTGAAAGCTGCTTTCTGCAAACACAGTTCCACTGGCTCGTCCCTTGTTCATCCGGTTCTACTCCCTCCTCTCCAGCTGGCCCCATCGTGTTTGCAGACCCCCGTTTTACACCCCATGTTCAAACAGGATTTATTGCCCTTGGGTAAGCTGAGAGATGGGGCTCTGCACAGCTCCTTTTGACCCTCCGCACTGGTCACCTTCCTCACCCTGCAGGGGTATCGTTTGTAGTCCCAGCCAGTGGACATTCTGTCTCCCTAAATTCCCCTTTCAGCTTTGATGGGATGCAGTATTATCTTGGTTAGTGCCCTGTTCCATCCCAGAGGTGGCTGCATTGCAGGGTCCCTAGGTCCAGTCCGAATTACTGCTTTGGGATCTGTTTGGCTCTGGCCATGTCAGATCATTCTCTGCTGGTCCGGCAATGCCCTAGCTGGGGAAAAGGGAAGGCACCCCTCATGCTTCACAGAGGCGAGCTGGTTCTCCAGGGGGAAGAGAGATGCAGGGGCTCTGGGGTGCACTCACAGCAGAGCTCTTGGATAACTAATTCCAGCGAGGAGCAATTCTCCAGTCTCCTGGTTGATCTGGAAGGACTGAGCTCAGCCCCACACTGAACCCAGGGCTCCACCCAACACGTTGGTTTCTTAGGGCTGGTCTACACTGAGGGGGGGGATCAATCTAAGATGCGCAATTTCAGCTACGCTATTCACGTAGCTGAAGTCGAAGTATCTTAGTTCGACTTACCTCACGGCGGCAAGTCGACCGCCATGGCTCCCCCGTCGACTCCGCTTACTCCTCCTGCCAAGGTGGAATATGGGTGTCGATTCGGGGATCGATTTATCGTGTCTAGACGAGACGCGATAGATCGAATACTACCTGCTGATCCGGGTGTAGACGTGGCCTTAGTGCTGCTTCCGCTGGGGGGATGTGGGGCATGGTGGCCTTTGGGAGGATCTTCCCCTGCTGCTGTGAGCTGGTTCAGCTCCCACCTCTCCACATCAGTTTTCCTTCTTGCTCTGAGGTGTCCCCAGCTTCCCATGGGTGGGGCATCGCCAGCAGCAATGCCAACTGCTTTGTGTGCTGGGTAATAACGGGGGGACCTTGGTCTCCAGCGCTGTTCATCTGGCACCGTTCATCAGCACTCAGGATGTGATTCTGGGCAGGGCTGAGCACCATAACCCCCCTTTGACTTCAGTGCTTGTTGTTGTGCTTGTGGGAATTATGATTTCTATTGGTGTAGTGCCCAGAGGCCCCAGGCAGAATCAGGGCCCCATTGTTCCTGGAGTTGCATGATATTATTGTTAATAAAATAATAATACTTTGCACTTCTACAGCATCGTCCATCCAAACACCTTCAAACACTCATGAATTGTATAAGAGCAATGCATCAAAGCACCCATGTGAAACGGGGTGGGGGGATATCCCTGTTTTACTGAGGGGGAAACTGAGGCAGAGAGGGGCAATGTGATTTGTCCAAAATCACACAGCGAGTCAATGACAGAGCTAGGAATAGAACCTGGCACTCCCGACTCACAGTCCTCTGTTCCAGCTACTGGATAACACAGCCTGCCTGAGAGCCCTGGTCCATTGCCAGAAATAGTGCAGTGTTTGATGGGAGCATAGCACAGTACCCGTGATGCCTGCCAGCAGACTTTCAAAGACAAGCCAGGCCAAGTTACTGCAGCATGATCAAAAAACTCCCCATGGCATCAGCCTGTGTGAACGAACTCCTTTGCCAGTGTCCAGGCTGTAAATGAAAGGCAGCTGCTTGCCCTCTCCCATGGGATAAGGAAACCGGTTTTGAATAGGGTGTTGCTGTTGGGACGTGAAGCTGCCCCAGTAGAAAGAGGGGGATTTAGATGGAAAATAGATTGATTTGTGAGATGAT